TTTACCTTTCAAGTAATTTTAATTCCTCTCTTTCTAGCACTCTTTTATCGATACTTGGCACATCTAAATGTTCAACACTCAGCGGACTAAGCTCTAAAGGCATTGGTTCCACTATACCAGTATTTATAAATACATGAGGTCCTGAAATAAGAAATAAACAATTGTTAACTTTTTGAGTGCTGAGGCAAGGGTTTGAAATTACGACCCGTCTGATCCATTTCCAAGCAGGCAGATTTTAGCTGAGAATTCAAGTTGAAGAATTTATTCATAAAAAATTAATAGTATTTGTCAGAAATTTTCCAATAGTTCAAGACAACCTTAACTACCCATTTTTAACTATATATGTTTTTTCCACCATATGTACCTAAAAAAAAATTTTGCAATATGAGAAAACTCTTTTACAATAGGAACATGTTGGCTTAAATATCAATTTTTTGTGTGAAAAGTAGTTTGGTGTTCATACTGCATAAAATGAAGCCATATGTTAAAAGTGGCCATACAACAAAGGTACAAAATTAACGAAACTATAAAAAAAGTGAGAAAAATGTTGCACCAATGTTTTAGCAGAAAAACAAAGTTCCTTAAAAGATATATGTTGATTACTTTAAGTGTACAAAGTGATAAAACTGAAGCATACGTGTACAGGTGAAACAGTGATAAACCGCTCATTGATACAATATCGTTTGTGTACTGTTGCATGGCCAAATACGTTGCAATGATTTTTTATGGTGACTTCAACCCATATCTCACATAAAGTAAATTAATGAAAGAAAAAAATATACACAATAGCAGGAATTGTGATAATATTTAGGAATATTTCAATGAATGCATGAGACAGCTTCATGCTACATGTATAATAGCGCCACCAGTGTCAAAATCGTATATATTAGCAGCTGCCAACATCAATGCTGTTGCACTTATGTTAATAACATGCAAAATCAAAATAGATATGTGTCCCATGTGATATATAGAATGCATGTAAAAAAACATTTGTTAGTTCACATGAAATGTTAACACCTACTCGGAAATGACTGTAACTCTTAATATCAATAGACAGTCACAATGGAATTTGTTGAGAAAAATTTGTCACAAGAGTTGAAAAAAAGTTGATTTACAAAACACCGCAATTTGGCAAACCTTTAATGATACATACTCATATGGCAAATACAATCAAAGAAAAAAATGATAATGGCCCTCATAGATTAGGGAGTGATATGATTAAAAATTAAAATATATTAAAAAGTTGTAATTATTAAAAGTAGATTTGAAAAGATAAAAGTATGCCATGACCTATGTGGCATGTATATATTCTATATGCCTGGGAGATAGTAATTATAGAAAACTGTTTTTAAAAAGGGAATGTGTTGTACCATCTGGTTGGCAAAGATAGCATCTTTGAACGTTCCGATTTTAATTTAAATTCTATCAGATAGACAATCTCAAAACCGTTGAAATTACAATTGTTGTATTTCTCAAGATAAATAAAGTTAATATAATTACATACAACAGCTAGTCTATTAACGAAGCAATACATTGTGTATAGTTGTCACAAACTAGTTTTTGGTTATTTACACATATTGTGATTTGCATAAAATATATTTTCTTTTTCATTGTGTTTATATAACTTGCTGTGTTTAGCTGTTTTCTAATTGAGCATCTATAAAAAAATTACACCAATTCTCTCTAGATTCTGATTAGAATTTTTCATAAGCAGAAAACTGACTCTTGATAAAATCTAGCAAGAGAAAATCATACAGGAACCCTCGATCCCTACGCACATGTGAGGCTTTGATGATGCCATTGAAATGAACATTTTTATCAGTCAGTGAAGGAGCAATAACATTACAGGGTAGGATCATCAGCTGTTCACTGCCAATACATAGCAAATTCCATTCCGAAGTTTTACAGTCTAAAATGAAACAATATGCAATTCAGCTACTTAATATGCATGGTCATGACTACAAAACTAATCTTGTCTGCATGCACACACAAGAGCTAAACTGTATCATGAACCAGCCAGAACAGAAATTACTTTGTCATCAAGAAGATGCAATATTATATAAGATAACCAAGCATTCATAGAAAGAGGACCGGTATATGTAAGTGGTGTGATACTTTATGCAATGAAGGACTTGTGCGAACTGAAAAAATTGTGAGAATTCAGTGTCACAAAAACTTCACAGACATTAATAATTGTTTAAATTACTAGCTTGCCTGTACATTTGCAACTCATTTTTAGAAACAGTACATTTCAAAACTTCATCTCAATCAAACACACACACACATTACTTGTATTGCTATATGTTCCGAGGACTTCATTGGATTAACTTTTAATATAGTTGAATTAACTTTTAATATAGTTGCGATATGAACTCGATTAAAACGCATTCCTATATAGGGTTGCGTTTTAATTGGAGTTTAATTAAACTCAATTACAATGCAATACAATGGAGAATTGCATTTTAATTAAGTTTAATTAAACAAGAGTTGAATTTCCCGTGACTGAACATAGAAATGTTTGCGAAGCTAATTAATTAGGTATTCAAATATGCTAACAAAAGTCTGAATATTTAATTTCAAAATCACCTGTTACCATGATATAAGAATGTGCTACAATATAGTTCAAATATGTAAATTAATCTTTAATACTCAGTTTTGTTACAGAAATCATGTATATTATTTATCTCGTAAATATTTGTTGCACTTGCATTTCTACATCAAGATTATTCATCACAGTTTGACCTTTTGATCTTTAACCTTTTGCTCTTTAATCTTTTGGGCACCATTTTCTATCGCCATTCACAGTTTTAAAACCTGCATAATTTCTTCATAATTAATCCAAACTTTTAATAAAAACATGCGGCCAATGAATAATTATGTACACCTGATCCAAAAGTATCCCAAAAAAATTATAGAAATTTAAATAAAATACAGGCAAAATGTTTTACCAAAATTGTTGCCCAAGAAAAAAATATGGTTAAAGAAATTAAAATGGCAGCAAACATCGTTGATTTTGCTAATACACTGTACTACATTCTGCCGCAGTGAAGTCACAGTTGCATAGCAACCACTAAACAAAGCAGCCATGATTGATCACACTGTCACTATCTTGCCAAGCTCTGAATACTGATAACAAAACAACAAAACCTGTCGTCTTTTACTTCAATTGAGACCTATACACACATGTAGGCTGAGTGCCTGTCAAACACTTGCAACCCTGATGTCTAAAATATTAGCATGTAAATATTATTAAAATTTTTAAGTTGCCGTCTATCAGTCATATATTGCATTTTACAACAAGACTTCACATTAATTCTCATTTGCATACAACAACTCCCCTGGTGATGTCACAGTTCTGCAGAATGCTTCAGGTGCTAATTTATTGTCCATTGTATTTTAAATATTCTAAAATAAACTTCCACTAATTTTTTTTTTTACAAATCTTAAACTGTATTATTATACATATGCCACCGTAACACCATAAATTACAGTGCGCCATAATTATGCAGTATTGCACTGGCTATTCTCATCCTACCATGTTAAGAAACGCAAATTCTAAATATGGAACAATTACGCACGTAAGCATCCTCTAATAATAAAAACAAACATGGCTGCCCCCATGGCTAAATCTGTTCTAAATGTTTTGGATTTCGGCTTTCCCATGATGTATTCCTGGGAGGAAAACATGTATAATAATAAGGTTATTATGGGGATAATGCAAAGTATGCACTCAGACAGTACACAATCGCATCGACTTCTGCTGCACGTCTATCAATTCTCTCCCAGTCTTCGTGCATACTTTGCAGTATCCTCGTAATAACCCTCATATTATTAGTACACTATAAACATTATGAATTCATTTATGGAGGATCGGATCCATTTCTCTACTTGGCTTTCTCATTGTGGCTTACAATGGTATATTTAGAATTTTCTCTCTGGTTTCAGACATGTAAATCAATAACGAGAAATAGAAATAGAAGAAAAAAGCATGTTGCATACATGTAATTAAATGTTTGATTCACGTTACACAGTAGGAATTGTCTGGTTACGACCACTGGGTGATTGCAGGTATCTTCATTCAGGTACTAACACAATACATTAGACTCTAAACAATTCAACCTAAACTTAAATCAATTCACCCACAGCATGAACAAAAAATGTGCAATGGAAATGATATTAAAATTGGCTTTGAAAAAATTCATTGATCGCAACCTTTACTAGAAGATGATTAAATAATTGATCTTTTCACAAATGTCCATTTCAGGGCAAAAGAAACTAAAAACATAAATGCGTAGGTGGGCATTTCACAGACATTTTACGGCTCTATTTGTTCATATGTGTACCTTACATTTAAATAATGCGACATAATGATGTTTACAAGAAGAAAGAACAAGCAGCCTGTCGGCTGAGATAGCTCCGCTGTTAGCAATGCACATGACAATTAAAGAACAGAAGATATCATTACAAAATGAACAAATCTGAGAGAGGTCCACATGTAGTACCTATATATGTAATATCAAAGCAATTGCACTTGCGGTTTTTAACAAGAAGTCGAAAATATCACTTTTTACCAAAAATGACAAAAATATTCATCAAAATTAGAGAATTGAAGATATCATCATGAAATGAAGAAACCTAAGAGAGGTCCATGCAAGGTACATATACACCAGGTATCAAAGCATTCAGGCTTATAGTTTTCAAGAAGAAGTCAAAAAAGTAAAACATTGACATGGACAACGACGGACGCTGACATACAATAACTCATATGATAAGCTCCGCGCGACAAACTCAACAGAGAAGCTAACAAAAAACACATCTTACTTAAAGAGCATACAATAAAAACAATTTTTGGAAGTTTTGTGTCGTCAAACAATGTAATATGCGTTTTGGATCTGTATTACCTGCCACATTGTTGCCAATATTAATGACTTTTGCATAATGAAGACATCTTATGATTTATAAATCATCTGATAGATAATCATATCTATAGGAGTAATGATATTTAGTCATTAAAGTAATAATTAACTGATTTATTTCTATTTTTTTAATTAATCAGCTAGTTTCATAATACATGATATCTATAAGTATGTACTCTTTTGTTCAAATGTACACTGTGAAATAATTTAAATTGAATAATTCAT